AAGCAATAGTGGTGAGGCTACATTAAATGCCCTTCCCAGATGAGACTGACGACTACCTTGTATGCCATCCTGGAGCCTTCATCCAGTGGCTGATGGAAGCAGAGGCAGACACCCACAGCTAAACACTGAAACGAACTCCTGGAAACCAGTTGCAGAGAGGGAGTGATGAGCAAAGGGGTCAAGACCAGGTTGGTCAAACCCACAGAAACAGCAGACCTGAACAAGGGGGAGCTCATAGACCCCAGACTGATAGCTGGGTAACCAGCATAGAACTAATCCAGATCCCCTGAACCTGCTTATCAGTGAGGAGGCCTCAGCAATTATCTCTAGCATACAAATAGACTTTGGGAGGTCATTCCACATAAAGGGATGGTCTCTCAGCCTAGACACACAGGGGAGGGCCTAGGCCCTGCTCCAAAGGATATGATAGACTTTGAAGATCCCCCATGAAGGGCCTCACCCTCCCTGGAGAGTGGAGTGGATTGGATGGGGGGGTTGGAGGGCGGGTGATGAGGAGTGGGGGAGAGGAGGGAAGGGTGAGGAAGCTAGGATTGACAAGTAAAGCAAGCTTGTTTCTAATTTAAATAAATAAAAAATGTTTATAAAAAAAGAAAAAGAAAAGTGCCTCTCAAAGATTATGTGTTTGTTTGGGAAGGGATAAATTATGCTATGATGATTGTTGTACAACTCTATAGATATACTGCAAGTCAAACACATACATTTTAAACAATATGTAGATCATATGTTATTAAATGAATTATATCTCAATAAAGGTACTTTTTGTTATTTATTTTTGGGGGGTTTTGGGTTTTTTGGGGGTTGATAGGTTTTTTTGTTTTGGTTTTTGGTTTTTCAAGACAGGGTTTCTCTGTAGCTTTGGAACCTGCTCTGGCACCCGTTCTGTAGACAAGGCTGGCCTTGAACTCAGAGATCCACCTGCCTCTGCCTCTGCCTCTGCCTCTGCCTCTGCCTCTGCCTCTGCCTCTGCCTCTGCCTCTGCCTCTGCCTCTGCCTCTGCCTCTGCCTCAGCCTCAGCCTCAGCCTCAGCCTCCCAAGTGCTGGGATTAAAGGCGTGTGCCACCACCACCCGGCTCTCAATAAAGCTACTTTTTAAAGACAGGGTTTCATATACCCCAGGCTGGCCTTGATATGTAGTTAAGAAGTCTCTAACTTCCTGCCTCCACCATCCAAGTGCTGGGATTACAGGCATGAGTCACCACACCTAGTTATAAAGCTACTTTTTAAATGGCAATGTATTCCATTATTCAAGTTAAAAATTTAAAAACAAAATGTTAAGTACAATTAGAGTGAATGCCCATTGTTATGACCCACTAAGAAAAATAAGGAAATGACTACTATTGGTTAAATAATACGATAAATAAGAGTAGAAATATGGACATGGGATTTGAAAACTGAAAACATGGAGCTATTGTTCATATCTGATTGAGAACCAGAATGTTAGTACTTGAGATGTGAGGGTAACTTGGCTGTGACTGAAAGGAGTAAATTAAACTGAAGGGCTTTACTTCTAATAATTTAAAAATAAAGGGACCAGACCCTCACTCAGCCCCCTGCTTTAGTAACCATGACAGGCTACAGAAAAGACCTCTGACACAAGGAAACTCCAGATCCTCTGGCCTCCCAGAGCCTAGGGCCAAAACTAAACACAAAGAAACTCCAGACCCCCTGCCCACCAGCCTCCTAGGTGCTTGGTTCCTGGGAACTGTTTGGCCACAAAAGAAACTCCAGAGGGGACCAAAACCTCCCCTGTAGTCTCCAGGATATAGTTCTGAAAACTACTGGTATCTATGTACAACAGGCCACCTGCAAGTAACAAGACAATGCCATAGAAACCACATAATGTTCTCTCTCAGCACTGACCAATGAAAATAATAGGTACATAGGTATTTCATGCCAAAATATGACTTTGAGAAATTCTCCTAATTGTCTCCAAATGTCAACCAATCAGAAACCAACCTGTACCTACTGATGTAATCCTGTAACTTTTGTCTATAAAACCTAACAGTAGACAGGGAATTTCACCACCTCTGGGGGCTGCTACGACAGCTAGCCAGACTGGGTCCCTGTCATGGTTGGATAAACAATCATTAAACCTTGCTTTTGCAGTTTGGTGGATCTTCCTGGTGGTCTCTGGGAACTTTACAACTTGGGCAGAACAGTGACATGACCCCACGGATCACCAAGGTTGACTGGACTGATATGGCTAGCTAATACAGGTTTTCCCTTCCTTCTTCACTGCTTTCAGTGTGACCTTCCTAAGATGCACTGAAGAGGATGACCTCCATGAACAAACGACTCTCTTCAGCCAAGGGTTAGAGTGTAGCTGTGTTATGTGAGGTCAAGGCCAACATGATCTACACGGTATCAAAAAAACAAATAAATAAATAAACCAGCAAGCAGATCTCTGGTTCAACAAACAAAGGCACTTGTTACTAAGCCTAAAGACCTGAGATCAATCTTCTGAACTCACATGGCAAAAGAAGAGAATCTATCCTATAAATTGTCCCCTGACCTCCACAATGTGTTATGGCATCAACATGTGTGTTCACACACAAACATACATATGTACAGAAAGAAAGACATACATACGTACATACATGAGTGCTAAAAAACTTTAATCTGGAATGGAGAGATGGCTCAGTGGTTAAAAGTACTGGTTGTTCTTCCAGAGGACTCAGGTTCAATTCCCAGCAACCATGCCTTTTTGTAACTCCAGTTCCAGGGTTTCTGGCACCCTCACACAGACATATATTCAAGCAAAACATCAATGAACATAAAATAATTTTTAAAAATTTACTTCAAATCCTCAACAATACAGTCAGGAAAAACAACTAACAGATAGGGTCATGTGATACTTTCTGGACTTTTACTTTTTTTTTCTTGTTATTAACAATGTCTCCATAAAAGACTTCTTAATTCATGCACAACCACAGAACCAGAAGAAAAAGAATTCAGTGACAGTAATGTGCAAATCTGGGGAGAATGGGTAACATGTTTAAATTATAACATATACATTACTAAAGCCAAGATGCTAGGAAATTAAACACGAAAATTCAGTTTATACAAATATATACTACTGGTGACAGACATATAGCTCACTTGGTAGGATGCTCACCTAACAAGTAGCAAGCCTAGAAGAGCATAAAAAGTACAGTGGTGCTAAACTGTAATCCCAGCACTTCCAAAGTGTGGGTATCATGAGGATGAGAAGTTCAAGGGTATTCTCAGCTACACAGCAACTATGAGGACAGCTGGGATACAGGAAACTACATTTCCCCTCGAAAAAAATAATAATAAAATGTATTACACTGAGGGTTAACATATTAAATCACAGTAAACTAAATTTATGATACTAAATAAGTTATTCATTGCATAAAACAACAGCAACTGAAAACCACAAGCAGCTCAAGACAATATGGATAAGGAATCCTTCCTGAACTCTTGTGATCCCAAATACTCAACTCAGCAGCCAAATTTCTTAACAGATTAGAACATGACATTTTCCTTCACTCTATTAGCATTTCAGTTATTGAAAGCCAAACAGCCGATAATAACACATTTAGAAGGATACAAGTGCATGATCCTGGGCTTTTATAATGGACTTTGCAATGAAAATCACTGGCCTTTCACAGCACAAGAAAATGGGAAATGAGAGGAACATGATGGTTATAATCGTGACACAAAGAGGAGAGGGAAGCAATTGGGTGAAAGAACTGGACCAAAAAAATGAGAGAAAAGGGAGAGCTAAAAGTCACCTGGGAGTTACTGGAGGTTCAACTCAATGGTAAAGCATTGTTATAGCATTTGGGAGGCCCTGGTTCAAACCTTAGCATGCAAAAAAATAAATAAATAAAAAAGGAAATAACTATTAAGGGCAGTTATTTCCAAGAGGAATGACACTGAGAAAACTTGCTTGGCACTAACAATGGAGCCTGGAGAAGAAAGTTGTGCAAGTGAAGCTAAAAACAAAGTCCCCAACCTTCGGTCACTCTTTACTGGGACAACTCTCCCCACGAAGATGTAAGCAATGATTAGTGACCCGTTCGAGGGGTAAAGTGATTTTCAATGCACAGACTGACTGGAGGCCAGAAAAGAAAGCACCACAGGAAAGGACCAGGAGGAACTAGTTCTAGGGCACCAGGAAACTGCCGGGGTTCAAATTGGTGCTGGTGAATAATTTTCAACAGGAAGTATACCAGATGGTAATCCCAAACTAAGGCAGAACAAAAGTAGTGAGGAATCTGTGGGCTGGGCACAGTTCAGACGAAGGGGCTTGCCTGGCACACGGCAGACACTGTGTTCTGTCCCCGGCACCGCAAAAAGAAGGAAAAGCAGGGTGTCCAGGTGCAGAGTGCCTGGGCTGGGATCTAGAAACCCAATTTCTTTCCCCCTCTGACCTTGGACAAGTCACTTTACTTCCCTGTGCTTCGCCTGATACAGGGAAACAGTAACTGTGCCCCAGCGGTAGGATTGCTCAATGGCTTCCTCTGCACATTCTCACAAAGCCTCGCACTCCGAGTAACGAGTACAAGGTAATTAAGATGAGAAAGGCCAGCTACGTTCTGACATCTCCATGGGCAATGCAAGTGGCAGCTATTGGAGAAGGTGTCAGGGAGGGAGCAAAGAGCATGTTCAGGTAGTGGCAAGGTCCGGAGGCTGCACTTGGGCGGGGTCGTCCTCGGGAACTAGGCTCTCAGGTGAGGGAAGGTGGGAGAACTCTTGCTCCAGAACCAAGGTAACCAGGACGTTTTCATAGGAGCTGTGATGGGCAGTTCCACTGAGCGTAGAGCCAGTGTCCGCTCCTGACTGAAGAGGTGCCGACCGAAGGGAGCGGCGGCCCAGCAGAGCCGCGCCTCACCCTCTCTCCTCAGACAGGCTTCCCAGCAGGGCCTCGCTCAAGACGCGGGACACCCGCGGCTCTCCCCGCAGCCAGCCGCCGCGCTCCGCCCGCTCTCGCGGACCCGGCCCCGCCCCGGTACCTGAGCGTGGGCCCGATGCAGGCCGTGTCTGTGCTCTCGATCTCCCTCAGGATCCGCTCGTGCTCCGCCGCTGTCTCCAGGCTTTCCTCCGCCATCTTCGCCCGCTCCATCGCAGGGCACGGCCGCGAGGCCCTCACTCAGCGAGTACCCCTCACTCTCTCAACCTAGGATCCGCGGCCGCTGGGCCAGCAACCCGCAGCGCGACCCCGCCCTCGGATGCCACGCCCCCAGGCGTCAGCCCGGCCGCGAGCGTCGCGCACAGCCCGCTGGGATTTGTAGTTCGCTGAGTCAGGCTGAGCCGAGTTCTGTCCATTTGTGCAATGAATCTGAGCTAATTGCTGCGACCTTGATAGAGACTCAGAGCGCTTTACAACACCCATATACAGTGACACCAAATCAGTCAGTGTTATTAACTCTGCACAATTTTTAATGTGTATGGGTATTTTACGTGCATATGTGTCTATGCACTAAATGTATGCCTGGTGCCCCAGTAAGCCAGAAGACTGTGTCAGATCACCAGGGACTAGATCTACAGTTGGTTGTGAGGCGCCTCGTGGGTGCAGGGAATGGAATTTCAATTATCTGGAAGAGCCACAATGCTCTTACCA